TCCAATCCCTAATGTTCTGTGATTCTGTATGGGAGAACAAAATGTAAGGAATATAGAAGGGCCATGAAAACAAAGGAAAGATGCATGCTGACATCAGCAGACTTCAGATCAGACCTCATTTGCCATTTCTTCATTTTCTTTATACAACTGATAATAAGTCATTTGGTAAAATAGGCTCTGTTTTGCTTCTGCAGAGGAGAAATTCCAGACTTGAACAAGATCCTTGACCGAGATGATATAACCATTATGAAAAGAGCCATCTTTTCAACTCAGGTGAGAGAATGTATTATTTACACAGCCATCTAGTATAAGTGATAAATACAACTATGTACAAGGATTGTGTATGACATATAGTGATATACATGCATTGAAAAAGGCATTTTCTGAAAGTATACTTTTCATCAGTAACACTTAAAGATCAGCTGTGGATGTTTTCAATGAGGTTATGACCCAAACTACTAATCCTTTTCCAGTCACATGCAGGACACCAAAATTCCTAATTCTTTTCTCCTGCACTAAGTATGAACTTTGCATTGTTCCTGAAGCCTAGATTCTTTCATTTTTATTAAATATGTAAAATCAATCTACTAAGAAGACATAATGTATTGACTAAAACACTTTAAAGTTACATGATAGGCCTTTCTAAAAGTTAGTACAAATAAACTTATGTTGAGGTAAATGAAACAAGTCCTGTAACAGATTTTATGGTCTCATTTGTGGCACTAGTTATATAGAAGACAACATTATATAAGCATCACTTTCCTTTCTTGCCTTAAAATGAAAGGGTAAAATCCTACTCACATTGTTGACAAAATCTCCCACTGTCTTCCATGAACATTAGAAAATGGTAACAGAATTCTACCAACAGTTTTATCTGGCTTATGGATTCCTTTTTCTCTATTTAGCGACACTGTCTGCCTCCAGTGACCACCCACAACATGATTGATGATAGCAATGATCCAATCCTCAATACCATCCGACGCATTGGCCTTTTCAATAATCGGACAGACAGAGTAAAGGTACATTTTGTCATTTTCATTTTAAATGTAAAATGGGATTTCTTTAAACAGTCTCAGTCTAGATCATTGGCATGGCCAGTGCAGCAAATTCTTGACAGGTAGTATTTTACTAGAGTACTTCTTCCTTCTTCCTCCCTTTTCAAGAATAACAACTAGTCACTTCACAGATATCCTATGTTGCAGTTTAACTAAATTAATTTCAAGTTAGAAATCTGATGTTAGGCAGTTGTTCTAATTGCTGCCTCCTGTGTTGAATGAGGAGCTACTAGTCCTGAAATCCAGAAAGTGCCACATATCATTTGTGCCCAGATGTAAAACTCTGTAACAGTTTCATATGCATAGAGGTCCAGAATTTGAGCAGACATTTCTGCAGTATTGCTTCATCTCTTAAGAACAACACCCTGACACTCAGCGGTTGCTGTAGAACGTAACCAGGGCTTTGATCCTGAGCAGAAATACTTCCTGTTCATGCTGTGTTCATGTTTACATCAACTGTTGAAGCTAAGTGTATGTAAATAATTCCTCTCTTTACTTCCATGTCTGTCTTGCCAGACCACAGAAATTATGAGCTTCCGCTTTCACAAGTATGCGGTTTTTTATGGTCTGGCAATCTTTGTCATTCTCTCTGCTAACTGTGACTATCTTATCATCTATCTTTTCAAAGTAGAATATAAAATTTCATATTCTTCCACTTGAAAACTTTCTTTTTAAAGTCAGGTCCTTAGTATCTCTGACAATGATATATCACTCGTTCTCAGTGTTTTGGCTTTTAAACCTATGACAATAACAGGATAAACATTTTCTTCAACTTTTTGGCTTAACATATTCTCTGCTAAGTGTGTGTCTCCAATGAGCTCTGAGAGCATAACTGAGATCAAATAAGCTTGCATAATGAGTCCATTTATTTGCTGAATACATACATGTGTTGATTTACTCAAGTAAGTAGCATGACTGTACTATTAAGAAAGGATAAAAACATAATTTTTATGTGGAGTAACGGCTGCAGTATATTTATGTGGGGAACATAACCCAGAGAAGGTTAAACTCTTCCCTCACACTTCTTCCTCCCAAAGCTGACTGGACAGCATATACAAGGCACTCTCTACTTATCAGTAAAATATGGGGCAGTGTCCCTAAGCCCTGCAGACTCATGCAGATAAATTAGCTTGGGTCCTGAAAGCAGGGTATTAGCCTAAGTTACTAAGCTTTGTCTTTCAGCAAGATTAGTTAGTTTAGGCACTGGATTGAGATGATGGGGCTACAATATGTCCGGTTTCAAAATTCTCTCAGTTCTTCAGAGATTCATCGAGTACTGTAAGCATTCCTATATTTCAGTTGGAGGCTGTGAAGCTTAGAAGTTCTGTATCCTCCTGAGGCCTCCTCTGGAACAAGACATCCCAATACTCTATGACTTGTTATGACAGACCAAGAGAACCAATTCAGTATTGTTAAATGCCACAGCCTTAGGCATAATTCTCAATGCACATGGTCTTCCTTGATCAAAAAGGATAAAGCTGAAGACCTGTCCAGAAAAAGGGTTCATTATCGGTACTATTTTCAGGACAAGACTGTGCACAGGTAGAATACATTTTAGTGTGGGAGATTAATTAGATAACAGCAAAGGAGGTGTTGTCGAGCTACTTAGGAAAAGGCCAGAGTGAAGAAATTGCTTAAGCTTATTGATAATTAAAATGTATTGATGATGGTTTACTTTCAACTCTAATGTAAGTTTTGAATATCCAGGTAATCCTACATCCAGAATTTCTTTCTTCTACAAGCCCATTGCTGCCCTTGGACTATGAAGAGTTTGTTAGAGGCTGCCACCTTGGTGTATTTCCATCATACTATGAACCCTGGGGTTACACTCCAGGTAGGCAATCTGTACACTTCCCTAGTATTGGAAGATGAATACCCATTCTGTTCATGCAGATTAGCTTTGCAGACAGTTTCTTTTGGAGCACTGAAACTTTTGGCTTTGTTCCCTCTGCAGTGCAAAGGTGTTACTGCTGGCAAAATTTGGGTGCCAAATGGTATAAAATGGCATCTACTGACTGACAACCACTCACATTTGTCCCTGTGCTGTACCCTTTCCCATACTAACATGTAATCTTTTGATTTTCTGTAGCTTTAGAACAAAAATTATTTTTTAAAACTTAATTCTTATCTTGATTCAAGGATTTTAAAAGAAGATTTAGAGGAATGTACATGTCGAAAAAAGTAAGGCAAGATATCTGATGCTATCAGCTGACATATTTCAGTGGATTTAATTCAAGTTACAAATCTGATAGATTCATATAACACCACATCTAAGATTCTTACCACAGATACATGCAGTGGTAGAGAATCTCACAGAATTAATTGGAAATTCCTAAAGAGACAGAAAGCATTTAGTTTCCAACTTTAAAAAATTGGTCAAGATTTACAAAAGACACTTAACACCTCGTGAAATCAGTGCAAACTATGAATTTGAATACCAATGAAAATAAAAGCCTAGATGCCTATGTTTTTTTTATGTCCTCCAAGATACACATCTGAAAGTTGGAGTGCCCCTCTGAAGAGCATTTGTTGTGAGCCAATGAATCAGAATATAAATTTGGCAAATTTAGTCATTCTCCAGAGCTGTTTCTCTCCAAGCAAGAGAGCTATTTAATTCCAAGTAAGACAGCTACATTGCATTCCAGTAATTTCTCTTCCTGTTCTAACCTAGCTAGGTATAAAGAAAGTGTGACCTCCAGGGATGGTTTTGAAGTGAACATTTAAGTAAATGTGGACAGAAAAGTTAAACTGGTACTTAGCAGTTTTGAGGAAAGCTGTGATTTACACTAGTTAAAAGGGTAGTTTCTCTTTCCTTTACTAATGGAAAAGTGATTATCTTTGTTGATACCCATTTAATTCTGCCAGAAACAAAAAGTTACATTGTTAAGAAAGCTGGGGAGGGACTTTCTACAAGTGCATGTAGTATAGGACAGGGTGTAATGGCTTTAAATGGGTAGGAGGGGGTAGATGGTAGGAGGTGGATTTAGATTAGACATTGGGAAGAAATTCTTCACCATGAGGGTGATGAGACACTGGCACAGGTTGCCAAAGGAAGTTGTGGATGCCCCCTCCCTAAAAGCCTTCAAGACCACGTTGGACAGGGCTTTGGGCAACCTAGTTAGGTGGGAGATGTCCCTGCCCATGGCAGGGGAGTTAGAACTAGATGATCTTTAAGGTCACTTTCAATCCAAACCATTCTATGATTCTATGATTTATAGCTCTATTTTATAGATATGAGTTTTATTTTCATTGTTTTTTATGTGAATGAAGGCTTTCATGCATGGCTTTCAGCATTTCAGAGACTAGAGTATTTACTTTATCTTCATGCTCTCTTAGGTTAGACTTAAGTTAATCAGCAAGAACTCTTTCAGCCTGAATAAACAGTTGTCCTTACTCACATTGATGATAGAAATGACTACAAAAGATGTATACATTTTCTAATTTTATAAAACTAGCTCCACATCTACTTTGAATGCAGTCTTGAGTTAATTATTTGGTTTGTTGGGGGTTTATTTCTTGCTATAGGGATCAGTTTACAAACACTATCAAAATACAAAGTTTAACACGCTCCTGCACTTAAGAGATTCAGTTTTGTAAGTAGTTGTGAACAACTAATGAACATATGTGTACAACAAGCTTCAATTTAAAATTCAAACCAACAGTCCAGACCATATATTTGGGTTCTTTGTTTCAATGCTGGACTCCCAGAAATTTCAGTTTAGCTGCCAGGAAACACAAATATATGTTCACAAAAACAGTGTAAAATTTTCTCTTTAAATTTACTTTTTCTTTCTTTTTTTCTTTTTCTCCAAATCCACAACAAAGCATAATAGTTTTCCACTTGACATTTTCAGAGCAGCTCTAGTGTTATGGGATCTTCTGTCTGCCTGTTTCTTTTTATTTTTTCTCTCCAGGTGAAACCATTCAAAGAATATTGCCCTGAAATACTTTTTGTCTGTTTCTTTCACAGCTGAATGTACTGTGATGGGCATTCCCAGTGTAACCACAAACCTTTCTGGATTCGGCTGTTTCATGCAGGAACATGTTGCTGACCCAGCAGCTTATGGTAAAATTTTGAACACCGTATCAATACTACCTCTGAGTTAGGAAAGCAAAAAGCACAGCAACAATTCTGTTACTCCTCAGTTTTGTGCTTTCTCTAGTGCAAAGATGTTCACTAGGGGGATATATGCAGGGCTATGAATATGTGAACAAGCCATTCAAGCTTTCATATTTATCCAAACCCTTTCCAAGTTCTCTCTCTTTTGTTTCCCTCTAACCTTTTGTCTGATGTATCCTTCCAAACTCAGTGCTGCTCATACTACTCTAGAGTCTACCAGCTCTTCCCTTTAATGTCTCTTGTTATGGTGAAAATCTGCTTCTCTTCGAATAGTCCAAGAAGGATGTGCCAGGACTTTGAGGGCAATGAAACTTGCCTCCACCAAAAAGAGTAAATTATCATGTACATGAAAAAATAAACCTGTGGAAATAAAAGAAACCTACATACAATTAAAAATCTGCTTATAAAGGTTTAGAAATGGTTCATGATTGAAGTGCGGTGGGAAGGAAGGTAGCTGGCTTCTCGTGTGTCAAGCCAGTACTGAAAATGTGCCCAAACTAGGGCCTCTTTCCAAGTGTCTTGGCTTGTCTGCACAATCAGGCAATGACAGCTCCACACTAGTACCAACTGTGCCCTGATCTAGGGGCAAGGGTAGAGTCAGTTGGAAAATACATCTACACCTGCTGGGTAGACATGTCTTTGACAGCCTTCAAAAAGGTCACAGAATGAGAGCATGGGTCACTTTCTCTTCTCTGCCAAAACATAGATGTGAACATTGACATATCTTACTGTACATTCCTAAGTGGCACTGGGCACTTCAGTTAAGGTAGTTGAGCATTTGTCTTGTCAATTAAGATAGCTGAGTTCTAGTACCCTGTTCTTCCCAACACCCTGGAGTAAGGAAGGTGGCAGGAATAAATTATTGACCTCGACAAACTATATAAAGACAAAGTTTACCTCAGCCCTCTCTCTGCCAGAGCTGTCTATTGACTAATGTATATGAGTTAGCTATCTCCATGGAAACACCTATTTCTACAGAAAACACAGCCTCTCTCCTACAGGCTGATTCTGACCATCCACACTTCTAAATTCTACTGCAAACTAGGAAAGCATGAGATTATTTTTTCAAGCAGTCAATATTTTATAAATTATTGGAGATAGAAATTATATATCTTTATCCAGAAACTCTTGAATCCTTTTGGACATATTTATACAGCAACAAATATGAGTTTTGAAAATTTCCTGAATTTCAGCCTGAAAGGTAAAGAAAATTTAAATTAAAAAATACATATTTCTCTGCAGCTTTCCATTCTGTCAGAACAGTAACAAAAGTTCCAGTTATAGCTGCCTTTTAACATTAAAAAGAACATATAATACATGTAATGTTTGTAAGACTATGTGACAGAAGGTAGAATGGAAATGTAAGAGGTCGGATTCCGTTTTCAGTTCCACTGATCTTCACCTTTTTTGTGTCCTTCAGGCATCTACATAGTTGACAGAAGATTCCGCTCACCTGATGAATCATGTAACCAGCTGACTCAGTTCCTGTATGGATTTTGTCAGCAGTCCCGTCGCCAGAGGATCATCCAAAGAAACCGAACCGAGAGACTCTCAGATCTGTTGGACTGGAGATACCTAGGCAGGGTGTGTGAAACTATGTAATGGAGGTATTAAAGATTCCAGACATGTAGATCTTACTAACAGTCTTCAGCATCATGCTGCAATGCAAGGAGACATCCCTGTTCTGAAAAGCACCTTTCAAAGGTGCTAAAAACAAAGCCTGTCTTTACATTTCAGTGTAATCCTTCCATTCTCCAGTGGTAAGGAGAGACATGACTTAACTGAATAGGTTAGAGCAAAAGCCAGTCACACTGAGGTCTTTGTAGTGCTAAAGATGATGTAAAAAATTTGTGTCCTTGACAACACTGGCAACCCTACACTAAGTAGGATTTGTGCTCCAAAGTCATCTGGACTCTCAAAAACCCTACCTGTTCTTTCTAAACTGCTGCTGACCCTTGTGGCTCCTCAACATCCCTAAACTACATTTATGCCTTAAAGGCAAAATAGTGTTTTTAATTTGACATAGAAAATATTTCAGTACCGCCTACTAAGAAGACAGTCACTAAGCAGTATGCTCAAGTCCATAGGAGCAAAAAAGTGGTTGTACATATATCAGTTTTGTATCTATTTTGAACCTTGTCCTGCTCTGATGTCTGTGTGAGAACCTTTCTGTCTATATGGTTCCCAACACAGAGTCAGACCATGACACAAGCAGCTATTTTTTCCATGCCTATGTTGGAGACTCCTCAATATAGTGGATCCATAAATATTCTTCCAATTCTTAAATACCAGGCCTCAGTAAACTCAAAAATTTTACTTCTGTGTAACTCTTATACATGCTTCCCATGCAAGAATGAGTCCAAAATTTATGTGTATACACGTGCACACTTAAAGATGCACATTTTCCTGTTTGAAAAAGAGCCAGATCTATCCTGAGGGATAAAGAATATCTGTCGCTCAAGAAGAACTACTCTGACTGAAACAAGTGCTGGTTTCCATCTTGCTATGTCTTAGTCTTACAGAAAATGTGTCCAGCTTCTGTTCCAGACTCTACTTCAGTGTGAATCTAACATGCATGGCTTGCTACTTCACAACAATGTGCTTATTACAAGCAGCCATATCAGTTGGATTCTCCTTAGCTGAAAACATGTTTAGCCTTTGTTCAGCATCATCTTTTAGAAGCTACTAATTTTATGTTCCTTTTTTTTCCCTGCTTAAATTTACCCAAGAGTTCCGTAACTTGTAAAGGCTTCTCTTTTATGTTGCAGTATTACATGCATGCCAGACACTTGGCTCTCAGCAGAACATTCCCAGATAAATTTGAGATGGAACCAAGTGCTCCACCAAAGGTAAAGACTGCTTTTGAAGATGAGTTCATCTGCATTTTAGCTACTTTACAAAGAGAAAGAGAAAATGACTGTGTGTGTGTGTGTGAGACAAAGAGAGAAGAGAGTTAGCAAATTTTGTTTTAACTGAAGGGAAGCAGGAACTCATAGTTAAAAACTCAACAAGTTATAGACTCAAGCTCCAGTGAGGAGTTGTAATAGTATCAGTTGCAAACACTAGACGTACCAGGTGCAATATGGGAACAGTTCTCCAGATGATTTAGAGTGACCTGCATGGGACTATGCCACTTTAGACGATCTGAGGAACTTGCTCTTGAAATTCCTATTAGAAGAGTGGCAGCTTCTAATTTTGCTTCTAATAGATGCCATGGAAATGTTCTACACAAGCCAAATAGAAGGGGAATTGGGAAAGGATGTTCTAGGGAAAGCAAGGCAAAGTATGGCCTTCATCTAAGCATGGTATGTGAGGAGGAGGCTGTGGCTGGAACTGCAAGTGGTCAGTTTAAACCCACGCCTTCAAACAGTTCTTGTACAGTGCATCTGAGAAGGGAGGCTGCTCAGATCCAATGTGTTATTAAAAACCAAACCTCTAGACACCTCCAGAGAACAACTGATTGTTATTTTTTAAATAAGAAGGAGAAAGGAGGCTCAGACCGAAACCTCTTGCTTGGTTCTGGTTTTGCAGATATTGACATTATAACTAGAAAACTGTTTTAAAACTTAAGACTAAATTTTGAATTTCAATAAGCTTATTCTGACTATGGAGTACAGAAGGATTTTGTATTGTGTTGATGGTTTAAGGCTCAATAAAGTACGTACTGACAGAGAAGGACTGAGGAGATCTGGGTTCAAGGGAGTTTAATTTTAGAGTGCAGAGCAGGTCTAGCTTACATTCCACTATTGGTTTCCTTTGAAATCTTGATAGCCTTAAATTGCTGTATGCAACCAATTGAGGAACACAGTGATAATATATACAACTTGCTTCTCTCTCTGCCAGACGGAAGGTTTCAGGTACCCCAGGCCTTCATCAGTGCCGCCATCACCTTCTGTCTCTCAGCATTCCAGCCCTCACCATAGCGAAGGTGAAGATGAAGATGAGGATGAAAGATATGATGAGGATGAGGAAGCTGAAAGGGATAGGCAAAACATCAAGTCTCCCTTTTCCCTTGGAGTACTGCCACAAGGAAAAAAGAAGCAGCATGGAGAATACAGGAACTGAATTCATTGTTCTCACCCTGGCAGGGTCTCTCCATCCATTCAACAGTTTCTCCTGTAGGCTTGGCAAGCTTTGTGTAAAGGGTACTGTGATGTAACTAGGGGAAATGTAAACGTTACTTGAGCTACACTGCTGGAAAGCCTAATATCATTTCACCTCAGAAGTAGTTTAAATGACAATTCTTCTGTACACCTTTGAGGTAGAAGGGATTTCTCAAGCTTAATAAATCTAGAGAATGCAACAATCCGCTCAGGAGCTTATACAAACCACAGATCATACCTTTGTCTACAAAATCATCTATATTAATCATAGTTTATGCTGATAGCTCCGTTATGAATGTCCCAAATGAATTCCTGTTTCATTTATGTTCCCCCTTTTCCCCTCCTAAACTAACATGAACTTTAAGGCAGAGCTCAAAAAATTTAGAGGAAAGAGT